AATATTTCATAAGATTTATTCAGGACGAGTTTTTTTCACACAGGCTCAAAAGACAAGGAGACTCAGCGACGCCCTTGCATCAGGCCCTTTATCTTGTCTTAGAGGTTTTACGAGGGAAGCCATGGTGTTGTTCAGGTTAGTAACGTGATAAAAAAACATCATATATAATAATCATTGTAATCACTGTTATTATCTTCATCGTCAATTTCGTAATGGCGTTACTACTTCTATATTATTTAAAATCATTACATTTATTAATTCATTCCACAAAAAAAGAGATTATCAAAACAAAGTCAGTTTCCTTCGTCCTGATGTCACTACCCTCGCCTTCCTCAGGACAAGAAGGATCCGAGGCATCACCCTGGCCTTGTACCTCGACTACCTGGTTCTCGGGACTGTTTACTACGGCCTCTCCCTCGGTGGTGACAAGTTCGGCGTCGACCCCTTCGTTTACATGACCTTAGGCGGGGTCATGGAGCTCCCCGGCAGCACCCTCACTATCCCTATGGTCCAGAAGATGGGGAGGAAACTGTCGAGTATCCTGTGTTTCTTGGTAACTGCCGGAGCGCTGTTGGCTCTCGGAGTTACGTCGCTGGGTTAGTTCGATGCAGTTTCTGTTGTGTGGTTATGGGTCGATTAATTTTAGGGTTATGGGTCAATTAATTACAGGGTTATGGGTCGTTTAATAATGGATCGATTAATTTTAAGGTTATGGTTTGATTAATTTGTTATGGGGTTACGGTTCGATTAGCTATGCGAAAAAAATATGGTTATGAGTCAATTCATTTTTGTAATGTGCTGATATTAGGAAGATTTTTTTCTTGTTTTAGAAACACACACACACACACACACACACACACACACACACACACACACACACACACACACACACACACACACACACACACACACACGCATATATATATATATATATATATATATATATATATATATATATATATACATATATACATATGTTATATATATTATTTTTGAAAATACCCACTGAATTTGAATTTGACGATTGGTCAAAGAAAAGCATACAAAAACGATAAAATCGCCTTAATTTATGTGGACCTAGGCTGGCTCGTGATGGTGCTCACGATGGTGGGCAAAATGGCGATCACAGCAGCCTATCAAATCATCTACTTGTACGCCAGTGAAGTTTTTCCAACGGAAGTGCGGCAGCGTGGCATGGGAACAGCGACGATGGTTGCCAAAGTCGGATCTGTGGCGGCTCCTTTTTTGGTAGAAACCCTGGTATGTTGAAAAACGCTTTCCGTTTTTCTTTTGTTTAGTCTGTTTAACGTGTGAATTGTGAAAGTTTTTTTTTTAGGACAAGAAGGATCCGAGGCATCACCCTGGCCTTGTACCTCGACTACCTGGTTCTCGGGACTGTTTACTACGGCCTCTCCCTCGGTGGTGACAAGTTCGGCGTCGACCCCTTCGTTTACATGACCTTAGGCGGGGTCATGGAGCTCCCCGGCAGCACCCTCACTATCCCTATGGTCCAGAAGATGGGGAGGAAACTGTCGAGTATCCTGTGTTTCTTGGTAACTGCCGGAGCGCTGTTGGCTCTCGGAGTTACGTCGCTGGGTTAGTTCGATGCAGTTTCTGTTGTGTGGTTATAGGTCGATTAATTTTAGGGTTATGGGTCAATTAATTACAGGGTTATGGGTCGTTTAATTATAGGGTAATGGATCGATTAATTTTAAGGTTATGGTTTGATTAATTTGTTATGGGGTTACGGTTCGATTAGCTATGCGAAAAAAATATGGTTATGAGTCAATTCATTTTTGTAATGTGCTGATATTAGGAAGATTTTTTTCTTGTTTTAGAAACACACACACACACACACACACACACACACACACACACACACACACACACACACACACACACACACACACACACACACACACACACATATATATATATATATATATATATATATATATATATATATATATACATATATACATATGTTATATATATTATTTTTGAATCATCTACTTGTACGCCATTGAAGTTTTTCCAACGGAAGTGCGGCAGCGTGGCATGGGAACAGCGACGATGGTTGCCAAAGTTGGATCTGTGGCGGCCCCTTTTTTGGTAGAAACCCTGGTATGTTGAAAACGCTTTCCGTTTTTCTTTTGTTTAGTCTGTTTAACGTGTGAATTGTGAAAGTTTTTTTTATAAGAAATACACAGGCATACTTACATATACTTGGACACACATATTTTAAATGAAATTTGTCATTACTGGACTCAAAGACATGATTTTTTACAAAATGTGTCGCTAAGTAAAGTATTTTTACGATTTTATAAGGTGTAAAATCTGACACGACACGAGAAAAAAAAACGTTCATATGAAACCAATGATGCCGATTTCTTAATATTTATGCCTTCTGTTTTAACAATTAACACAGAGTTCCATCGGTCCTTGGCTCCCGCTTGTTATTTTCGGAGGAGTGTCCCTAATAGCGGCCGGAGTCACCCTCAAACTGCCGGAAACACGTGGGGCGTCCCTGCTAGACACTGTGGCCGATCTGGAATCATCTGGCAACTGCTGACCTAAAACTTTTTGAAATCGAGGCAAGTTTTTATTTCAAGAGTTTGTTTATTTCATTTTAGGAACTGTGTTATATACATACCTGGATCGGTGTGTGTAACTAAGCTTGGTATAAATACACACACAGCTGTACATATTTAGTTGATCATTCTATCTATCTGTCATTGTCTGTCTGTCTGCCTATCTGTCACTGTCTGTCTGTCTACCTACTGTCTATCAATCTATTCATCTGTTTATATCTATTTTCCGTTAGTGTGTAAGAGAGAGAAGTATGTGTATATACATATAAAGAGTATATCTACTGCAGCGTTATCCAAAATTGTTAATTTTCCAAAATTTTACGCTTATTATCAGTAAATATCTATTCTCATTACATCCATTATTTCTCTTTTATTGCCACAGAATTATTGTCATTATAGTACCATGTATGAAACCATTCCTCTTAGTGTTTTGTGTGGTTGCAGTTGCTTTCTCGCACTTCTCATGAGCAGAGCAAAGCAGCAGAACGCAAATTCAACAAGCTACTTACCGTCACTTGCTGAGAGCCGCCATAATGAATCTTCGGTGGGAAAAAAATAGTTTGTTTATAATATCATCTCCTTTTTCATCTTGTTATGATCCTTTCATATATGTACTCTTACTGTACTCACTGAACTGGAAAATTCAAGTTCTCAAATAAAACTGCATTTTTTAGCCATGTTTTTTTTTTCTTTTTTTTACCTGCTACCAAATCATACTTGCCCGAAGTTTGACCTGGTGCACGTGTTATCAGTTTTTATTGTTGTGCGTGAGCGTGCGTGTGCGTCATTCAAGCTTTCAGAGTTTTTATTACTCTACCTTAGCCTCTGGAACGCGTGGCATATGCGAAAAAAGAGTGGGGTGCGTTCTTAATGGTGACCAAATTTTTCTCGTAGGAAATTTTTTGGTACTTAACTTCACTCTTAGTTTTTCATGCTCTGTACTGCTACAGCGCGGGAAGTTCTTTTAAACAAGACCAAGGTAACAGGTATCTTTATTCACAGATCTAACCCAGTAATTGAATGCACATACTGACCAGTGCCTATTAATAAAGTGAAAGTACAGACCGTTAAAGAACTCGTTTCTTTAGTTCCTGGGCATTCATGCAGGACAATTCTATGCCATTTATTACAAAGTCAGTTATATATCTAACATTTTTTTGGATACAGATAAATACATTTTAAGTATTAGTCAGCTCATACATTCCCTTTAAAGGTGGCTTTAGGATCGGCCAAATTTATCCAGAAGCATCAGAACTGCATCGGCGAGCGTGCTGGCTGTGTGTTCGGTCATGTAAGAAGTATCATAGCTTAGCGTGTAAGGGGAATGTCTGCGGAAAGTATAGATCTGGTGCAGCATCATATAGACGGACAGGTGAATCGCAGCAAACATGGTGATGTCCATGAGCTGCAGGTGTTCTCCCGTTCCTGGAATCCTGGAAGTTAAGTCTCCGAGATTCGTGAGTCCGTAGTCCCGCAGCGGCAGAGGCGGCCCGGCGTAATAGTCTTCGGCCGAGACAGGTGGTTGCGTCAGGCGGCGAACCACGTCTTGGTTGAAGGCTTCGCTGGAACTCAGGAGACCAGTGACTTTCCGGTGAAGCTCCTTGGTGTAATCCCAGAAGTGAGAGCGGACATCGACGGGCGTCTCGATCCTGTGTGCTGTGGGGCGAGCGAAGAGGCCGAGGATGGGCAGACGGCGAGGCTTCATATACCGCCGGAGATCCGTGGCCAGGTTGATGCTGACACTGTGCGCCTCGTCCTCCACGCCGGCATCTCGAACCATTTCCACTAAGGCGGTGTTAATGAGGGCCTCGAAACCACTGTTGAAAGACACTCCATTGGCCTTGCAAGCAGAGCGAAAACGAGCAAGCACATCCTGCTCCACGTTACGGAAAACGCACCCGGTTGCCGGCTTGCCTCCTGGTGGGGGGAAAGCCTTTAGGATGATGGGCGCTATGTCACAAGCAAGAGTCTCCTCCTTAAGCACATCGAGTCTTTCGGGGTCCTTCTCCAGCTCCTTCACAATCTCCGCATCTAATTCTGAAACTTCCTTATAGTCCGCCAAAATTCCCAAAGGTCTGTCGTCCTCTATGTTTCTCCCAGCTATCACATCATCAAGTAGTGCTGTGAGATTCCTTAAGGTGGTTGCCATGGTATTACCATCGCTAATCGCATGATGTGGCAGAAAGACGAAATCGTATTGGTGCGGGAAGTCGGCCTTCACCTCTGGATGGCAACAGCGTGCATCTTCAGGGACAGGTATAAGGCGAGCTTTCCACAACGGAGGTCGGTCACTTCCGAAGGGGGCGGTCATCATCTCAGTCATCATTTCACGTATGTCAGCTCCTTCCAAGACCTGAAAATAAACCATCGTAAAACATTCGAAGCTTGTGATTATGTATACACCCACAC